CAAAAATAGAATTCCCTCCCAACCCAAAAAACAAAAAAAATAAAATAAGATAAATTAAGAAACAAATGCTTCAATAAGAATTTTCATGAAATTGAGCATTTCATGATATCTTGAAACCCAAAAACAACACCAATTGAAAAAAAAAAACAAAAACAAAAACAAAAACAAAAACAAAGACGCTTCATCTTCTTCCCTCTTCCTCCATTTTTACACCAACCAACCAAAGAATAAGCACAACAAACATCCAAAATCAAGACCCTCCATGAAAAAAATCCCTTCTTTTTACTAAAAAATAAAACCAATAACGGAGGTGATATACACCCGGAGAGAGAATTAAAAATAACCTTTATCCCAAAAGAAAATTGTTTTTTGTGTTTTGTTTTTTGGGTACTAATAAAAAAAGAAATAGTACAAATGCGATAAATACAAACACATCAATGTACAAATCGATCTCTACCGACACATTCAAGTACGAATATATATATGTATATATATATATATACATAGAGAGAGAGAGAGAGAGAGAGAGAGACCTTTGGAAGAAGTAGGGTTTAGAGAAGGTTGAGGAAGCAAATTGGCCATGGAAGAAGGTTTGTTGCGGTGGATCTGATCGTCGTCGGGCGGAGAAGAAGCTTTAGGAAGGAGAGGCGTCGCTTTTTCCTGAGTTGTGGCCATTGTAATGGGTTTGCGAGCTCACTGTAACCACCGCCGTAGTACTTGTCGCTGTAGTACCCCACTGACATACAGCAATTTCTCTGATCGAACGTTTCGCTGCTTCGACACCTCACCACCACGCTTGCTTCGTTTTCTTCTTTCTCTGTTTTCCCTTACTTTCTCGAGAAAATGATTTGAGAAAATTATGAAGAAGTTGAAGATCGGAGCTGTGATTTGAAGAAGTGATTGAAATGTTGAGTGAGAAAGTGAAATTCGGATGATTTGAAAGGTATTTATATACAGCTGAGAAAGTATTTTGTGTAACCGTGGCCGAAATCACACGGTGTACTCTTTTATTATTATTGGCTTAGAATTTGTTTTAGAAGTGATATTTTTATGAAGGAAAAAAAAATGTGTTAAAAAAAAGTAAAAATAATAATGTTAGACCATCTCCAACGGTTCATCAAAATTGACATCAAATTTAAAATTTGGTAAAAAAGTTATTGTTTGGTGCTCCAATGGTTGCACCAAATCGATATCAAATTGAGATTTTGGCAAACGATTCATCAAACTGAGGACAGAATATATATTTCATCAAAACACTGTGTGTGACCGTTGAAGCAGAAAAGCTTTAGAATTTTATGCATGGGTCGACCACCTGGATGACCACCTGGTCGACCCCTTGGTCAACCACCCGGTTGACCAGACCAGTGCATGCGAAATTAGCCTGGTTCAAGCAGTTCAAAAAGGTAAAAAAAAAAAAAAAAATTGGCTTTACTGGTCGACCAACCGGTTGACCTACGGAGGTAGGTTCAAACAGTTCAAAAAGGTATAAAAAAAAAAATTCCTCCTAACCGGTCGATCATCCGGTTGTCCTGAAAGAGATTTGATGAAGGTGAACCGTTGGAGCATTCAGTATCAAATTGAGAAAATGACCATTTTTTTACTCAGATTTGGTGAAACATTAGGTGAACCGTTGGAGATGCTCTTAGAGCATTTTCAATTATTGTTGCTATAATATTATTGCTATTATTATAATTTGGTAATGAATAGTGCTATTTGTCAAATTATAGCAATAGTGCTCCAATAGTAATTTGTTATTTTGGCAAAGCTCAACCAACTTTCTCTCCAAGTTTGTAAGTGTTGATTGGATATAATTTTTTGTGATTTTATTTTTGTTTATTTTTTTATCTTTTGTGACCTTTTTTTAATTGTTTGTAAAAAAAATATATATATTTATATTATTCCCGACTAGATATATATAAAAAATGAAAAAAAATTGAAAAATTGGAAATATATATATATATATATAATTCACCCCACCAAAAAATATATCACTACATATTTAATAAAAAAAAATTAACTATACATAAAAAATAAACAATCACCAATTATCCAAACAGAGCACAACGGCTCTATTTGGTTTCATCACCACCGTCCACGTGTCTCTTCTCTCTCTCTCTCTCTGTCACTCTCAGTCTTTGTCTATCTCTATTTGGTTTCATCATCACCTCCTCCTCTCTCTCTCTCACTCACTCTCAGATATGATCTCTTCTCCCTCTATTACCGAAAGCCTCTTTCTCTGTTTTCCATCTCTCTCTTCTCCGTTTATCACCATTCTCTCTCTCTGCTCTCCGTCTCCCTCTTCTCCGTCCATCACCTCCGCCTCTCTCTGCTATCCGTCTCTCTCTATACCCTACCCATGTCTTTATCTCACCATTCTCTTTCTATATCTCTTCTCTATCTAACTGATCGGTCATTTTCTCTCACGTCCATCACCAGTTCCATCTGAATCGATCATCAATGTCTCAAAATCTCACAAACCCACTTCCAAATCTATCCCTCTCCCTCTCTCTCTCCTTCTCCTTCTCACTCTCCCTCTTTCTCTCACTGCCGTCTACCCACATCTCTCTGTTTCTCTCACTGTATCATCTGTATCAAAGAACACAAAGAAAATCACGTATCTGTATCATCTGTAGAATCATCTGTATCAAAGAACACAAAGAAGATCATCTGTCTCTCTTCTCCCTCTCACTGTCAGGTATTTTTTTTACTTCACTGTGTTTATTTTCTATTTTTTTTAAAATTTTGTTTGCTTCAAATTGGTGAAACTGAAATTTGAAAAATTGAAAATTTAGTGATTCTGTGTTTTTTTTTTATTTAATATATTGTTGTTCTACTTCTGGTATATTATTGTTCCACTGTGTTTATTTCTTCTATGAAAATTTTGGAGTCAAATTCTGTTTATTTGGATGATGTGGCAAGTTTGGCAATTGTCAAATTTGAGAGATGAAATGGCATTTGCCAAATTTGGCAGGGGTTATAGCAGCCCATTGGAGTAACATTTTTTAAAACTCTTGTCAAATTTTGACAATGACAGCTCAAATAGCTTGCCATTGGAGATGCTCTTAGGTATTAAAAAAAATATCATAAAAAACTTAATTAATATTATCTACTTTTGGATTATAAATACAATAAAATATCACAAACTAATTAAATAATTAAAAAATATCATAAAATATTTTATGATATTTCTTTCGTGATACCTAGTATTAATAATAGAAGAAAATCTTTAATTATTTTATGAATAATATTACATTTATCGCCTCTTTATACTATTTCAATATACCATCTTATAGGTTAATATATAATTTGATATAAACATGAGTGGTAGAACTCATTACATCAATGATGGATTAACACATAAACTAGTATATTAAAAGTGGTATAAAAAGATGACAAGTGTAGTATTATTCACCTTGTTTGGTTCTAATTTTTTTAATTTAATTTTTTTTAAATAGAGTTTTTTTTTGTATTTTTTTAATATTTTAAATAAAAAAATTTACTTCTTAGACACACCATCTTAAAAAAATTAGAGAGTTGATTGAGACCCCCCCTCCACCACCACCCCTACCCCTACACACACGTGAGGATTGGTGATTGAAAAAAAAAATAATAATAAAATAAAATAAAATCGGGCCAATCAGCACCCAAGGTTGGTGATTGAAAAAATAATAATAATAAAATAAAATAAAATCTGCCCAATCAATACTCACTGGGGTGCTGGGGGTCTCCCCAGTGGGGTCCCAAGCTTTTCTGAAAAAATTAAATTTAATAAATTAGAATTATTTTATATAACTTTTTGACTCAATCAACCAATCATGACCATAATGTGCTGTAAAAATTATAATTTTTAATTTGATTCTGATTTAGGTCAAGTTTGGCAAGTTGAAAAAGAGTCAAAAAGTCAAAAAGTTACTTAAAAAGTTAAAAAGTTATCACTATTTACCAAAAGTCAAAAATTACGGCTGCACAAAATTACGGCTGCACAACTCCTAATCCAATTTTTTCCCTACACACTAATTTATACAATTTTTTAATACACATTTTTCCATAAAAAGTCAAAAAGTTAACCCAAACAGCCATATTTTTTTCCTCAACTTTTTAGCCCAAAAAGTTAAAAAATGCACTTATTTAGGACATCCCAAACAACCCTTTAATAGTGATGTGAAACATGAAGTTAGGCTATCTCCAACACTGTATTAAAGTCATTATCAAATTTTAATTTGATGAAAATGGTGTCCTTTTTTAGCTCCAACAATTTCATCAAATCAGTATCAAATCAAGAATATCAAAAATATTTCACCAAATAGAGGATGTTTGGGAGCGTCTAGCATTTCACTGTTTGGTGCCGTTGGTTTTGCAGAACCGAATATTAGATAGAGTTTTACTTAAATTTGGTAAAATAAATAATTCACCGTTGGAGATATTCTTATAGACGTGAAAGCATTTTGAATTTTTTTTTTTAATAAAGAACAACAATCTATAATAATTTAGATGTAAGTTTTATAAAATAATATAAATTTTTCCTATGACAAAAAGAGAGAACTATTTATATAGTGGCTTCTCGAATCTCATATATATTTACGGTCTAACAAATACAATAAATGACACACTAAAACTTTTGACCTAGTAATTATATAACACAACTTTACAGTGTAAATTATGAGTTTAATTTCTATAAAAAGAAGGTTGACACTCATATTAGTATTTATTTATCTTTCAAATTTAAATTTGGTGATCGTTGGTTTCCTAATATTATTAGTCTTTAAATCATTTTGAAGAACATTAATGTACTCTTCTCTTTATTATTTATTATGTAATAAAAATAAAATCAAAATTTAGTATGACTGAACATTCAATAAACCCAACACAAAATAAATTTTCGAGTCACTTTAATTTAAGAAATAGTAATTGACAATACGTTCTAAAGAAGGCAAAATAAATGAATTATATCACGTAAGCCACGGATAATAAACGTCACAGGCACTGAAAAAAAATGTATTGAATAATTATTAAATTCGAATAGAGTCACACTTGAATAAATTTATATTTTGTGCATTTTTTTTTTTTGCTGTGTTGAAGAATATAAAAATGGAGAGATTCAAACAAACTATGTCCAACCAAGTGAGAGGTTGTTGAAATTTGATTAAAAAAATTAACAAAATATAATTTTAATCATTTTATATAAAATTAACGTGTGATTTAATCACATTTTGAATGGGAGCCACACATAAATAAATTTAAGTTATTTGTAAATTTTTTTAAAAATATTTTTTGTGCAATTTTTTAATTTTTTTTTTTTTAAAGAAGTTAGTGTCAAACAAACCACAGCCGACCAAGTGATGGGTTGTTGAACTTGATTAGAAAATTTTTCTAATTTTTAAAATGTATTTAAATTTAATTTTTTTAATAATACAGTCATTAATCAAAGTTTGAGTTGCTTTATTTATTTATTTTTTTCCAGATTATCCAAAAGGTTAATAATTTATGAAAATGTGTTAACGTTGATTTATTTTTATCACAAATTACATTTGAATTTTTAGGGAGACCAAAAAAAATAATAATTAAAATTTAATTAAGGAATACAAAATTTAATTTGAGAGTATATGATTTTAAAAGTCATATTACCAAATTAGTCCTAATTTTCTTAGAAGTAGGTGAAAAGAAGTAGGTTGCGGCAACAATACAAGTGGCATATTTTGGCATATAGCATAATGACACGAAAAGGCGAGTCCGTTCAACTTTTCAAATAATGGAGTGATATGACGTTTTCTTTATCATTTGCCTTGTTATTTACTTTAATTTTTATGTACCTTATTTAGTTTCAGAAATTTGAATTTATTTTTTAAATTTTAATTAAATTCTTTTAATATTTTAATCAAATTTTACAACTCTGCTATGGAGCTCGAAAACCAGCCCCCTGAATCGCCCGAATTTGGAAAATGTGATTTTTGAATGCATGTTTGGTCCAGTTGCAACATTGGTCAATTGATACCACACGCCAAAAATAGAAGAAAAGAGAGGAGAGGAGAGAGAGAGAGGAACCAGTCGAAGAAGAATAGGTGAGAGCGACCACCGCTGAGATCGACCGGTGCTGACACTACCGACCTGGGTGACCACCGACGACCAGCGAAAAACTCTGCCCACCGTTAGTGCTGTTCATCGACCAGCAAAATACCACTTCGACGTCAATCTGGATTACACATTGCACTCATCGTCCGTCCGTCAATCTCTGAATCTGGCTTAATCACCTAAATCTGCTGGTGCGTTTTTTTATTTTTTTTCTTCTTATAAATTTTTATTTTTTTTGTTAAGCTTGAATGTGGGGATTAGAAGAATGGTTCTCTATGTTTAGGTCTATGTGGGTAGATGATTTCAATTGAAAAATCTGTTTGGGAGCATATTTTATATAGACATATTTTGTGATATACAATTGAAAAATCTGTTTGGGAGCATATACTTTGTAATATACAGACATATTTTATGTTGTACAGAGAAGGAACAAGAAGATGTCTGTATAAAATAGAAGGAACAAGAAGATGAAGAATGTGGAAATAGAGCATTGCAACTGATAACTGATAATTTATGTTGTATGAAATGTCCAATATAAGGACTGTTTACCATTCAGAAATTATTATATCTCTAGAAATGATCACATGTTTCAAAATGACAGCTTCAAGATGTAACAATTCTCAGCAAGAGGTATATATGTTATACATTTAAAAGCACTATTTATTGTTCTGAATAACATATAATACACAAATAGCATATAATACACACACATGCCTACATTGATGAAATCTTGATGTCTACCTACTCGGTTGCGGTCTCTAGTCAGTTTTGCTGATTATTTTTAGAAATTTCCAACATCTATTTGCATTGTTGTAGGTTTTCAATTAATTTTGAATAATTAATACCAAATCAATAGAAATATGTTTTATTGGTTTATGTATCAATTAGGAGGGGATTATGGAAAATAATCTGTGATGCCTCTAAGTGGTGTTTAACATCCACTTCAACCTTATTTATGTGAATATGTGAATCTGTGATGTCTGAATCTAAATCTAAGTGGTGTTCAACACCACTGAATTTGAATATGAATCTGTGAATTTGTGATATCTCTAACCTTATTTATGATTTGTTATGCATTTCATTCTGCTGATTTTATACAAATTACAGTAGAGTTTTTCACACAATGAACATTGATTCAAACAATCCTACATTGAGTGGGGGTGAGGAAGTTGAGGAAGTAGAGAACAATCCTTCATTAAATGAGAGTAATGAAATTGAAGAACCTAAGAAGGGGATATGGTTTACCTCAAAGCAAGAAGTGCATGAGTTTTATGCAAAATATGCTAAAAACCTTGGATTTGCAATAACGTACAGAACACAGAATGTTGGAGCGGATGGAAAAGTGAAATACTTTGGAATTGAATGTACTCGGGTGCAGAAGAGGACAAAAAAATCAGAAGTAAACCCCCTGAAACCATCTTTGTCATCAAAAATTGATTGTAAAGCAAAGGTAAAAGCGACTTTACAACAAGATGGAAGATATAAGTTAACTACAGTGTGCTTGAGCATACGCATGATTTGATTCTTAGTGATTCACGGCATTTTCCAATGAATAAGAGGATTCGTACTCCTGTGAAGAGAAGATTAGAAATAAACAATGAAGCAAGAATAGGGGTGCCTAGGAATTTTTATTCTATAGTTGTTGAAGCGGGGGGATATGAGGCATTAACATTCGATGAACGAGATACAAGAAACCACATTGAAAATGCTCGAAGATTGAGGCTTGGGGTAAGTGACGTCGAATCAATTGCATTTTATTTTCATAGGATGCAACAAGAAAATTCAAACTTTTATTCTGCAATTGACTTTGATGTAGATGGTCGCATACGAAACTTGTTTTGGGTAGATGCAAGGAGTAGGGCGGCTTATAAAGCATTTGGAGATGTCTCATTTGACACCACCTATCTAACAAACAAGTATAATATGCCGTTTGCTCCATTTGTAGGAGTTAATCACCATGGACAATCAATCTTGTTTGGTTGTGGGCTATTATGTAACGAGAACACGGAGACATTTGTTTGGCTATTCAAAGAATGGTTAAATTGCATGTCAGCCACTCCTCTAAAAGCTGTTATAACTGACCAGTGCAGAACCATGCAAAATGCTATACAAATTGTCTTCCCACAAGCTCGACATCGTTGGTGTTTATGGCATATAGTGAAGAAAATTCCCGAGAAATTGAGAAGATATTCCCAATATGAAGCCATCAAATTTGCTTTACAAAATGCAGTGTATGATTCTTTCACAAAAGATGAATTTGATGAGGAATGGCAAATGATGATTCAAAAGTTTAGTCTCCATGACAACGAGTGGTTGGCGATATTATATGGTGAGCGACATAGGTGGATTCCTGCCTATGTGAAAGATATATTTTGGGCTGGCATGTCAACTACACAACGAAGTAAAAGCATGAATGCATTTTTCAATGGGTATGTAAACTCAAAGACTACTTTAAAGCAATTTGTTGAATAGTACGACAATGCATTGAGAAGTAAGGTGGAGAAGGAGACCAAAGCAGACTTTAAATCTCGAAACAAATTGTATGATTGCTTAACAGTGTACGAGTTTGAGAAGCAATTTTGTGCTGCCTACACAAATGCGAAATTTAAAGAAGTTCAAGAAGAATTGAAGCGACTACTGTATTGTCATGCGACTCTTGTGAAGGAGGAGGGATCCATTTGTACTTATCATGTCAAGGAAGCTGTGCTTGTGGGTGAAAAAATGAAGAAAGTTGAATTTCTTGTTTACTTTAATTCAACTGAATTTGAAATGCAATGTGTGTGTCGGTGGTTTGAGTTTAAGGGGATCATGTGTGCCCATTCCCTTAGTGTTCTCATTGAGAGGTGCATATATGAGGTTCCAGATAAGTATATTATGCCGAGATGGAGAAAAGATTTGGAAAGAGGGTACACATGTATTCCAACGACATACACGAAATCCGGGGCTGCCCTCAATGCAAAGGTACATGATAACTACCACAAGGCATCGGATGAAATTATAGAAATTGTTTCCAACGATGATGGTAAACACAAAGTCATTCAACTTGGGTTGAGAGAAATGAATGAAAAAGTAAGAAAATATGAATCTGGTTGTGCGAGTAATGTGCCACCTTCTACTAGCACTATCCTACCTTCTAGTAGTAATGTGCCACCTTCTAGTAGTACTCACAAGGTGCTTAGTCCTTTGGTTGCTCGCTGAAGAGGCCGTCCATGTACAAAACGGAAGGTGAGCAAGGTGGATGAAATAGTGAATCAATTGAAGGGAAAGAATAAAAAGGCACTAAAAGTCCAGGTATATTTTTTATTTTCTGCTTGTATGTAAATTTCAGAATTTATTTTTGTCAAACTTTTTCACCAATGTGTGTTACTATAGGGTCGTAAGATGGGCCAAGGTGTACCTCGTAAGTTGAATTTCGGTTGTACGGACGGCATGGAAGACAATACCTACGATCGGGTATGTGTTTCATGGTCTACTACTATTTTTTGTATGGTATTTATTTCAATGTTTGAACTTATTAATGATATTTTGTTATTATATATCATAAGGCGTCACAAGCTCAATCTTACTATTTTCCTTGTATGGATGGGACACAAGAGCGTATGTATGTACCGGTATGTATTGATAATATCACACCTTAATAGTTTTTGTTTTTCTGATTTGCAAATATGTTTGTGAGAACAGTTTTTAATATTAGTTACTTCGGCATTGAATAGGCACAAGATGGCGCATTGCAAATGGTGGACAAAATTGGAAGCGCATCTTTGAGTAAATCAGGAATGGCGAATATAGATGGTTCAAGTTTTGTGGACTCGAATATAGATGTGGATCCCAACGCTCCATTTTTTTTTAGTTTCGTACTATGGTATTTATCACTTTCGTTTGTAAACTTGGGATAGTTACTTTTGTGGACTTGAATATAGATGTGGATCCAATCGCCCCATTTTTTTTTTTTTGTTTCGTTCTATGACATTGGTTTCCTTATCATTGGATTGAAGAGAATGAAAGCATTTATTGGACATGTTTTGTTGCCAACAGGTTCTGTTTTGGTTCTGTCATTTAACAGGTTCTGTTTTTCTTGCCAACAGGTTCTGTCATTTAACATGTGGGTTTGAACAGGTTTTGTTTCTTGCCAACCTGTTCTCATGTTTTGAACCTGTTACAATGCATATACTGCTAACAGGTTCAGTTTTTGATACATTACAAATGAATATATTGGTAACAGATTCTAAACAGGTTTTGATTCTATTTTAATATTTGGATACATTAGAAATGAATATTTGAACAGATTCTGTTTTGATGAATTTCTAGACAGATTCTGTTTTGAACAGATTCTGTTTTCATGAATATTTGGACAGGTTTTGAACAGCTTATGTTTTGAACAGATTCTGTTTTGATGAATTTCTGTTGTGAACAGGTTCTGTTTTGATTACTTAGGAAATCTGTGAAGTTATGTTTGGAACAAGTGCTGTGAACATGTTCTATTTTGAACAGGTGTTGTGAACATGTTCTATAGCTATTGTGTTGCAGGTTCTGTAGCTATTGTGCTTTGAACAGGTTCTGTAGCTACTGTGAACAAGTTCTATTTTGCCTCAAGTTTACTTATCATCTCATGGCCAGAATGTGTTGTAGCCTTTTTTTTTTTCCCCCTGTAAACTTGTATTAGTTGTTAGAACAGTTGAATATGCTTGTGAGTGAATTTTTTTACTTATCACATTCTCTATTGTAATGGATGAATTTGTTTTTATCATCAGTCTTTTTCTTGTCTTTCATTCTTCATCAAGCTAACAGGACATATGGATGAATTTTTTTCCAGTAGACTTGTATTTGTTTTCATCATCATATTTCCAGCAAAAGGGGTCTGAGTTTAGTAGCCTATTCTGGCTTAGACTTCAAGTTTTTGTTTTTCCACTTAACAGGACATAAAGAATAATGAAGCAAATGTAGAAGAGGAAATGTTTGAATCACAATATTATATAAGGAAATGCCAACAAAACTTATGCAACCTGTTTGGGAGGTAAAAGTCCACAACCTGGAAATGATATAAGCACAATTTGTGAGCTAAAAGTCCACAAAATCATTAAAAAAACATCATATTCATTAAAATCCTTTCCACCTACAAAATATTCATTAAAAAAATATTCAAAAACTATTCATTACAAAGATCATATTACAAAAACATCATATTACAAAGATCATATTACACCTACAAATATCATATTACAAAAATATTCATTACAACATAGCCCCATAAGCCATGCGATTACCCCAAAACTAACAAAAACTAACAAAGTCAGTAATTTACTTCATCAAGTACAAAATCATACAAAACACAATGACATAAATCATCGCCTTCATTTTGTTCTCCATCCTTTGAAGCCTTTTATGAATTTGATTTTCCATTTGAGAAACTATTGCCCTTAGCTCATATGATTCTTCTGTTGTTAATGCTTCACAAGGTCCGGTATTGGGATGGATTGTGGAGGTAACGTCCTCATCATCATCATCTGCAAAGTTGAAGTAATTGCAGTGTGCCCTATTGTTTTTACTCTACAATTCATGAAAATCAGTTAGTCATAGCAAGCAAACCAATTCCCAAATAGTAAAGGATTAATTACATATTGACATAGAATAAAGCTTGGTACTTACATATCTTAATAGGCACACAAAGAACAAACGCCCTTGATTTTCATTCTCATTAGTTCGTACGATATATATGGTAGCTGTTCTCCTACAATCACACATTCTTGGTTTTAATCTAATGTTGCTATTGTTAGTAGAAGAAGAAGCCATTTTTTCATCTGCATAACCAATATGTAAGCCATTTCAATTTCCTAAGATGAAAAAAAGTTGGTCTTCAGTGTAAACATTTTCTGTATAACCAATACATAACCGATACCTAAGCCTTAAATAAATAAAAAAAAGATCACCTAAGATGATAAACATTTTCTATTTTACAATTTTTGTATAACAATTTTTTTCTTTATTTATATACATTTTTATATTTTGGTCCAATTGTCACCATTGCATGTTGTTTGCAAGCACTGGTGTGGGAACAACAACAACAACAACAGCTCAGCATTGTAGTTAACTGTAATTTAGCAGAGTGAAAATAATTTAAATGAAAACTTCAAACTATTCCCACAATGAACTAGCTCTCATCCCCTACATCCCTTTTAGTGTTAGCTGCAATGCATCAAGAATGGACCAATGCAGTGCAGCCTTGATACTCAACTTGAGCAACTTGAGATAGAAGTCATTGATGATGTAATGTAATGTAATGTCCAATTTGATATGAGTAATAAAGATAACCAACACCATTATTCTACTAGTGATTCAAAACACATAAAAGTAAAATAAATAAAATTAAAACAAATAAATGCTTAAAGAAAAAAATAAGTCTCCTAACAAGGGCTAATTTGTCACCCGTGAACTCATATGGACACCACCCATTCGTTTCTATGTTCCCCAGGAAAAAGTAGGATGGAAGACAACACACATCCCTAAAGAGACTTTTGAAACAGATGAACAACCATGCATACAACTTGGCACCTGAGTTCAATTTCAATTCTTATGTGTACCCATCAAGGCATCAACTAGACTAGTGATCAGAACCGAGATGTCACACATTGAGGCCATCAAAGATACACTTTAGTCCTTTATCCTATGTTACTTGGCTTCATAATGGGTATTTTCAAGCATTGGTCCAATTGTCATACACTACAGTTATAGAATCCTAACTTCAAAAAAAATATATATATATATATATAATAATAATCCTAAATTCATAATTCCCCCCAAAAAAATTCATACACTATAGTTATACAATCCTAACTTCAAAAAAAAAAAAAAAAAAAACATAACAATCCTAAATTCATAATCTCCCCAAAAAAATTCATACACTATAGTTATACAATCCTAACTTCAAAAAAAAAGAAAAAATTAACAATCCTAAATTCATAATCCCCAAATAAAAAAATTCTTACACTACAGTTATACAATCCTAAATTCAAAAAATAAAAAAATAAAAAATAACAATCCTAAACTTGGGATTCTATCCTAGGCAAGGCACAAATCATGACACAAAATGATGGGAAAATCATAACTCTAACAGCAATTGAAGGCACATTACAAAAATTTAAGCCACAGCAAATCCCTAGTTTTGCGATGTTGGCTTTCTATGAGAGGAGTCAACTCTGATTTGTCTACCCAACACAGAGACGAGAGGGATAAGAGACGGATCAGTGACCTGAGTCAGTTTTTTTACCCAACACAGAGACAAGCGGGATGAGAAAGAGAGCACTGACCTGAGTTTTCAAGAGTTGAATTGCAGTGAGAGAGCGAGAAAGTTTTGAATCATTGAATCGCAGCTCCGAATGAGTGATGGGTTTCATAGGCGAGTTGAATCGCGGTCTGACTGTTGAATCGTTTCTCCGAATGAGATGTGTTTGCAAATCTCTGAATCGCAGCTAGGGGTGTTCGCGGATCGGTTTTGTGCGATTTGCGGTTCGGTTTTGACCAGCCCGCATCTATGCGGTTTGGGAAAAAGTCAACCCACAACCGCCCGCAGTGCAGTTTGCGGTTTGTGCGGATAGGGTTTGTAGATGTGCGGGCGGTTGCGGGTGGTTTGCGGTTTACACTTTTTTTAAAAAAAATTAATTTTTAAGTTTTTTTTTTTCCCATCGAATTTAGGCATTAGATTCATTTTATATATTTGTGATCATTTGACAACAATTTTCTGATGAGTTTACAAATAAAAATTGAATATCACTAGCATTTTTGTCATGAAAAAAATGTATATCAATACATTAAAGGTTGTACTCAATTAGAATTGTCAGTTCAGTAATCAATAATCAAACTAGAAGGTTCATCGACCACCATAAGAAAAATTTTATTAGGAAAAAAGTGGATGAGTCATCAATGAAAATCATATAAGAAACCAAGTTTAAGACTTGATAATTTACGACATTAAGAAAGTTGAGAAATACTTAAAAATAAGGATCCTAGTGTCATAGAGAACATAACGGTGCTCCTGTTAAAGTTACATAGCCGGTATATATAAAAAAAATAATAATAATAATTAAAGTGCGGGCGGTTTTTGCGGCCCGCAACTTGCAAATTTCTCATATTTCAAACTGCATCCACTCGCATTATATTTGCGAAACCGTCCATTTATATGCGGGTTGGGCGGGCTGGGCGGTTTGAACGGTTCGGATAAACCGTTGCCCACCCCTATTCCGACTATGAAGGATTTGAAGAGTTGAGAGAGGAGAGAGAGTGTTTGGGAATGAGATGAGATGGAAAATGATTTTTTTTTTGGAAATAAAGAAAGGAAAGAAGAGATAGAAACAGGCGTGTACCATTTTTGGGTTTTTCGGCGGGTCAAAATTCGAGCCGAAAATCATTTCCCCAAATTTTAAGCCAAACAAAAAAAACTTTGGATATGTTTGGTTTGAGTTTGGGAGATGAGTTTTAGAGATAAAAAGTACGAAAAGTTGTTTGGTTTGGTTTTTTTCAAAAGATGTTTTGGAAAATTATTTTGAGAGAGAGTTTTAGAAAAAGTGATTGATTTGATGTGTATGAGAGAGAGATTTGTTTAGAAAACTTGTAAACCAAACAAGTTTTGGGAAATTTTTTTGGAAAAATTTGTTTGGTTTGATTACTTTTAAAAACTTATTTGTAAAGAATTTTTCCCAAAAATTTTTAGGAAACACAAACCAAACAAGGCCTTTAACTTTTTAAATTTTTGTAACTAAAAATTAATTTTTTGTATCTAGAAATTATAAAAAAAGCTTAAAATCAAGACATTAAGTTCTAATTAGTCAAGCCAACCGTTGGGGAAAGAAAATTGGAAAATGCTAGAGGTCCTAAATTTTCTACCAAATAAATGATCAAATGTCTCACATGGGTGTGGGGCCCACAAAATTGCGGACC